AGAACAGAGCCCTCTATCGACCCATGGAGACGCATGCATCCGTGACATGCGGTTCTCGACCCGGGTCGAGATAATCTCTCGACATTTCGATCAACCGCCTTCCTTTAGAAAGTTGTCAGATCTACCGGAGCGCAGATCGCATGAGCCGCGCCGCCGTTGCGTGAGGTTGAACGAATCGATGACTTCCGAACAGGCGTACGGAATGAAAACCGTGTAATGATACCCAGATCTCCGGCAAAACGCGAGGCGATGCCAGTCTACAGACGTCAGAGGAGATCTGAGGAGAGCTTCAGATAGTCCGACGACGGAAGCATGGGCAAACCGAGACGTGAGCGGACGAGTTGTCCGTTCAACGCCGCCCGATGTCATCTTGCAGCGAGCCAGTCTGATGGGCGAGCTCGTCCCGATTCTGATCCGGAGGAAAATTCGCCTCCATTGGAGTCTCAAGCAACGGCGCGGCGAGAGTTTGCCTCGGTATCCTAACCGGACCCTAGTCAGACTTCTCGGCGAGCGTAAGGCGCGTCGATCAAGAGATTTGAGAATCTTGTGAGGGGACGCTGCCATCAAACTCCATGAGCGGGACCTCCCGACTACCGCCGACCCGAAACTCGAGAGAGAGCTTCGGATTCCGGCTCCACGGCGCGAAATCCGTGTCGTCCCGCGAGCGTGCCATCCACACGGCTCTGGAAGTCGGCCCTTGGCTGCGGCTGTCAGAGATCAGCCGCTCGATAGGTAGGTGGTTCGGCTGGCTAGCTGGCTGGCTGACTGACTGTTCGCACGATTTGACCGATGGCGAATTCGTCGGCCATCGGAAGACATCGCTTGACGTATCAGTTACGGCGATGCAGGAGCAGCGATGGGCCGGCATGAGCAGCAGCAGCGGCACGACACTTGCTGACAATGTGTTTTTACGAATGGCGAAAAAATAAAATGGGAGAAAACTACTTCACCAAAAGCCGCCACGATGTGTCGACCATCATGTGATTGCTACTGCTTTTGTTGTTGTCGACGACGTGGTCGTTGTTGCTGCTACCGTTGATGTCGCCCGCCGCTACTGGTGCCGAATCCGAAGATGTTGCCGCCGAAGACGACGACTCCGAGCGACGAGAGTGCGCTTGAAAATTGGCGCAATTTGAGTTGTTCTTCTCAAGAAGAAAAACTACTAGCACTTCGACGACGACGACGACAACAACGACGACGACGACGACGACCAGGAGGGGAAAAGCTATTGCTCGTCTGTCCGTCTTTCGGCAAGTGTGTTGATCTGCGTCTTTTTGATATCTCCCGTCTCATGGCAGCAGCAGCAGCAGCAGCAGCAGCAGCAGCAGCAGCGATGATGAGAAGAGCTTTCAGCCAGTCAGTCAGTCAGCTTGATGCCTCTGGCGGGATGAAAACCTCTGGCGGTTACCGATCATCTTGAATGAACCAGTCAGCCGGGAATAAACGAATGAATGGGTGATGTGATGTCTTTCTCGTCGTCGTCTGCTCAAAAATCACCGCAACCTCTTCAAGTGCCGGTGATGCTCGCCGATGCTCGGATCTTCCGACGCTTCATTACATGTAGTTACCGGCGTTTCAATAAAACGTTTTTCTCCTCAACTGCAGATGCGGAATAAGGAGAGCAAGATGAAACCCGCGAGAATGCGAAGCGAGCGAGACCGTCAACCGAACAGCTCAGCCGGTGAGCAATAGAGCGATATGTAGCCAATCTACCTACCGGCGCTACCGCCGAATGTCGACGTCGACGACTCAATGAAATCGCTTCAGAGTCAAACGCGGACGGATAGATGGATTGGTGGAAGGATGGTCGGTCGGTCGGTCGCTCCGCCTGTCGGGGGTCGGACGGACCGACGGGCAGGCAGGCGGGCGGGCGGCCGGATGAAAACTTCTAGAGCTCCAACGTCTGTTCCTCCTCCAATTCAGGTCGGTCGCCTCGAGCAAATCGTTCGCGAGTAAAGCACTCCGCTTCGCGTATTGCTTCAATAAATGTCGTTCATGATTTATTTTTTCGTTAGAATTATGTAGAAAGCATCGTCATCTACGAAATTCGAGCGTCTTCAGAAACCGCACCAAGATCCGAGATGTACCGCGGGTGACTCTCATCGCCAGAATTCGGTGCCGTCGGACCACCTCCCAGTGGTGGCACACGACAAGATACCAGATCGTGGTCACACTCGAACCACTTGGCTCGGAATCGATGGCTTTCGATTTGTCTCCGACAGCTGTTGAATCAATTGAGCGGCCGTGCATATCTTTTTATCGTTTTCGTTCCCGTTTCCGATGGCTTCGCATTTGGCCGGCGATCTGCCGATTGACTTCTCTCATTTGTTTTTTCTTCCTTCCTTTTCTTCACCTGGCCTGGAAGATACACGCGTCATATCCAGGAACTGTTTCTAACCGAAGTGATTTGGCTCGGTTAGGCTAACAGGAGCCAACTTCTTCGGCGGTGGCAGGGCCTTTTCGCTGGGGCATATTCATCCATTGCCACCAGAAACAGGAAGCCCATGATGAACTGAGTGAAGTTTTGTCTCCGCGCGATTCACTCCTTCACTCGCGTATATTCTGTGTAAGTGTTCGTTCGCCCGCTCGTTTTGTCTGTCAGTCCTCTGCTCTGATCGCCTCTCTGGCACGCGCTGATGAAACTCAACAAAGAGGAAAGGAAACTCGAGACTCCTCCGGTGGGCTTTCCTCGGTTTTCGCCTACGTTCCAGACTGCTGTCCAAGATTCCGTTCGGTCGGTGCGTGAGTCTTGTCCCACCTCGCCAAAACGGAACCAAACCTACAAGGGTCGCTCATCAAGCTTTTCTTCGGATTACACGCTCAAATTTTCTGGCTCGACTCTGGTCGCATTCACGAATGCCGAACTCCCTATCAAGGCTGACTCCGAAGCCGATCTGTTGGAAAGCTCGCCGTCTCTTAATCCCACATCAAATTTGACTTCGGCTAATCTCCTATAAGAAGTGCCGTCTCTGATCCGGGATGACGGAAAAAGTCTTCGAACATCCACGTCTTCTAAGTCTCCCACATTCTATGTGTTTGCTTTCTCGCTGTCGCTCTCTCTCCGAGGGATTCCGATGGTTTGCGAAAGTATGGGATAACAGAAAACAAAATGAGAATATAAAAAAACAACTCGAGCTGCGGCAGACCCAGCTACTCAGTCAACCACTCCCAGTTGTCATTAGCAGGGTAGCAGCCAGCTCTTTCTTTACAGTTTGTCAGGGCGATTTTTTCAAGGGCGCGAAACGACGGTGACGGCGACGACGAGCACCTCCACTACGACGGAACGAGCGACAAGCCAGCAAGACAAGACAACTTCTGTGATGGCTGATTCGTGAGCCGAACGGTGCCGAGCCGAATTCGTCGGACGCGTGCGTTCAATCATCGTTTCCGTTTCTTACGAGCGAGATTTCGTCTCCGTTTTCATCGGGTTCCAGCGATTGTCGCCTCTGAGGATTTGCGAATTCCCGAAGAACGATGTCTTCATAAATTTTCGTCGCGGAATATCGGCGCGAATTTTCTGCATTCACTCAAATCCGCGTGCACGGCGTGCCCTCACCAAGACGGAAATTTCACACATCTAATTCCAACTCCTCCGTTCGCGGAACCTCCAAGCTCGAGAGGCCAACTCGAACTCATCCAAAGATTCTTCGTCCAGAGAATCACGACTCCGGAAGGGACGCTCAAGAACCTGGTTTTTCGTGGGCTTGCTCAGTGTGGACCGGGATGCTTTCTTCTGGCGCTAGTGGCTTCTTGGATTTCGGTCGGAATATTCCGCGAGGAGAACGATTGTCGTTGATCTGTTCTGGAGTTTTACGGGAAGAGAACCGTAAAAGAAAACAATAGTTCCAACTGAGTAGCGCATCATCTGGATATCATTCCCGAGGGGGAAAATAATGCTGTTCGCTCCGTTCTTGATTGACTGACGAGCGGTTGTCTATGAAGATGAGTTGGCTCAGATGATTATTTCCCACACAAAGTGTAATGTCTTCGCCTGTCAAGTGATTTTCACACAGCGTTCGCTTGAGGAGGAAATCGCGCAGCGGGAGCACCGTTAGAATTCAACGAGAACTCCGAGCAACGTCTCAGCGTTCGAAACTGTGTTTCGAATCTGCGATGCGGACCGGCACCATTGGACTTGACGGGCGCTCCGGTCTCCGAGGGGGTCCCGCGTTGAATCGGGAGGACCCTCCTGGCAGAATCGACTGTCAGGGTTGATTCCCCTCTGGTCCCGGATAAAGTCGTCCCTCGACTCCAGCTCAATGAAGACTGCACTCGGAGTACCGGAATCCACGACGGAACTCGGAATGGGAACGCGCGCTCGGATCACACATGCGTACGGCTCATTGGATGTGCTTCGTTCGGCTCATTGGCTGGAAGGTTGACCACACCCTGAACGCCATTTTGCTCGACCGCCAGCTTTCTGTTATCCGTACTTCGATCAGACGACGACGGAGATGATGATGATGGCAACTACGGAGACCATGGTGATGATGATGAAGGCGGCCGCGGCGATGAGCAGAAGATGAAGCAGAAGAAGAAGAAAACGAGGAGAAGAGGTACGAATGGCTCGAGCGGGAGCAATCACCAATAATGACATCGATATGCGTAGAATTATAGCGGCCAAGAGATGAGTCACCACCTTCACCGTCAAGAGCAGCATCAAGTTCCAAACAACTTTTCTTCTTCAGCTGCGGCTTCTACCGTCGATGCGGCAGCCGCTACCGGAGCTTCTGGTCAAGTCGAAGTTTTCTCCGCCGAATTTTTCGGGTCCCGGATCGTTTCGGTCAACCCGCGATTCGCGATTGTACTGAGAACTTCGGCTCCTCGAGCGATCGAGAGACCTCGTGCACCTCGGGGAGAGAGTTGTAGAATCCCGTGCCGGGGATTGTCCCCTCGATAATAATTAGTCCAAAGGCCTAGGCCCTAGGCTGTCTCCCAGTGGAATCCGAAAACCCACGGGGTCACAGCCGAATCGGAACGGGAACGTTCTCTATCATCACCGCGATCATCTTCGCCACAGAATCCATCATCAACGTCATCATCATCAATGTTGCTCATCAACAGCTTTTCCCGGGCTGATGGTCTCTTGTTCACGTCACATTGTCGTTGAAATTGGTTTTGTTGTCGCCGTTGGAAGTTAATGGTGTTGATGTGGCCAGTCGAGGATCCTGCGAGCCGATCGACGGTGATACCGACAACGACGAGAATTCGAAAGAGCTCATGGTCTTGATCTTGTTCACTGTTGTAGTCTTCAATGTTGATGTTGTCGTTGTCGTCGTCGCTAAAGTGGAAGTGCTCGTCGTCGTCGTTGTTGTTGTTGTTCTTGTTGCTGCGGTTGACTATGGGAGTGTCTTTGCCGAATCTAAGGTAAGGCACCGATTATCAATTTTGCTTGATTCGGCGCGATTCTCGCTACGACTCAGCGCAAAGCAATAAATACAGCGGTGGCTACAACAACAACAACAACAACAACGAGGGCCACGGAGTAAAAGTCTGTGGAGCCTCACCCGGCTGGCTACTCAGTGGCAACAATCAAAATCCTCACTTCGCTTCCGAAGGCGGTCGGCCGAAGGTGCACAATCACGAGCAGAAGACGCTGCTGGGGAAATCTGCGGCTACTGCTGCTTTTGTTTGACATCTGCGAATCAGTCGGAAGGCGGCAATTGAGAAGCGATTCAACAACAAGTCGAAAACTGATACGGCGTCGGACTCGGCGACAATGACGACGAGCGCGACCACCGCCACCGTCAGCATCGGCGGCGGCGGGCTTGCGGGGAAAAAAGTTGACAACTATAAGTTCCACCTCCATGGCGCGATCGTCCGTGGCGGACAGTTTGTTACAAATTTTCTGTTGGCTCGGTTTTGCTTCGCTTGATTTGCTCGCTCTTGTTTTTTCTTTTTTCTCTCCTTTCTTGTTTATTTACCTGGCAGATTTCTCGGCCCTGCTTCCATGGCATCGGACCTCGATGAATTATTATCGACCACTTTGAGGGGCTCGCGCAATCGACGGAAGCCAATCCAGCTTCGGAATTCTCCAGCTGGGAGCCGAACAAGAGGGTGAAAACTCAATTCTGCTCTCCGTTCTCCCCCGACGATCTCTGACCAACTCCATGCGGAACCGAAATACCGTCATGTCTTCGTCGAGCAGCGAGTGGTCTAGTTTTGATTTCCTTTGCCAAATCCGCTCGTTCCTGATATTTTTTCCTCGTCAAATTCTCGCTCAGATTTACTCCAGTTAATTATTCTGTTCGTTACTTTTTTCCTCGTCGACTCCATCCCGATCTTGGCAGAGTTTCCACGGAAAAGTGATTGTTATAAAGCCCTTTGAAGACTCGTTGAGTCACAGCTGTCCGCTGCTTTAAATTAGTTAGACTTAAGGAACTGAAGTATGCAAGTCTATCATTAGTGGGTGAAAGATTGCGATAGGAAGTACGAGCGCAGAACGTATCCGTTCTGGCGATTGTGGGCAGCACGTTCTGGGGATGTTTCACGTCCGGAGTGACCTTCCAATGAAAATAATGTTATGAGGAGCCTGTCGAGTCGGCCGCTCTTTGAACAACTAGTTCCAAGTCAAAGAAATCGCTGTCATCACCATTATTCACGAGACAGGATACTGACATAACACGGAGAGGTACTTTCGGTCATCTTCGAACCGAAGGTAGGTGGACGGACGGTCGGTCGGTCGAACGCAGGTTCGTGTTCTGACTGCAACGACAGCACGTGACACTTCGCCACCCCATCCACTTGGACTTTAATCGCCACCTCGACGCTACGGCGATCGTGGAAGTACGTTCGTAACCACCCGAAGTACGAAGTCTCCCACTTCAGATTTGAGTTGCGGTTGACTTAATTGTATTCCGTTGTTGCCAAGTGTTGCGTTTGCCCGCCCGTATGTCAGACATTTGACGCAAGTGAGGGCTTGCGCTTAAGTAGCATGCGTTGTTGTTCGAAATCTTTTTTCTGGCCCAGGAAGTTGAAAAGACAGAGACGGCCACAGCCAGCGAGCCAGTCTGAATCAGATCCATGCACTTGAGCCACGAAAGCCACACAACCGGAATGAACTACAGCAGGCCGGAGCAAGTTGAACTTGAATGGCGAACGGAAGGCTATCCGTCGTCGACGTCGTCAACGACGGGCAGCCGAGCCGGTCAGCCAGGCTGATTCGTTGGATGCTGGCCGATCTGCAGAAGTTTATCGATACGTGGTCCCTTCGATCGTCAGACCCTGCCTGTCTGCCTACCTGTTTGCTTGCTTGCTCGCCTGCCTGCCTGGTTTATAGATCCGACCGGCCCAACTTAATCGATATTCCATCGGGGCTCGTAATAATTGCATACGAGCCGAAAGGTGCCTGGCTGCCAGGCAGTCAGTCAGTCAGCTTGCTTTTCTGAAGACAGAAGAACGAAGCCATGAACATGGATTCCGTCGTTTTCATTGCTACCTGCTCGCCTGTCCGGCTGGCAGGCTTTCGGATGCAGAAGTTGCTGAAGTTTCTTCTGCACATCGCGAGCGAGCAAGTCAGCCAGCCAGCCAGCCTACCAACCCTTCATCCGATCCATCTTTCCGAGTGCTGGCGCTCCGCGAGTAACTACCGAAGTCGTCGATGACGAGCAGCCCCAACATCGACATCAGAGGCGGCGAGAACGGCAGCAGCTCCGGCACGCCCAGATTACGTTCGGTAGACGAAGAACAACTTGTTGAGCGCCCTCTCCGGAAACTTCGCCGCTTATCGTCCATGTATATCTATCGGCTCTGTTGTCTTGTTCCTCCCTTCGTTGGAAGAATTTCTCGCCGGACGAAATGTCCTCACGGCAGATTAAGCGCCGTCGCGGTCCGAACGCGTCCGACGGCAGAACGGGATAATCGCCCGAAAGGTCCACCACCCTTCGCGTGCGCGTCGCCGAATTCCGGCCGCTGGATTTTCATGTCATCTCGTTCGATGATCTTGATGAGCTACGCGTTGATGATTAAGACGATGTCGCTGATGATGACTGTGATAGCAACGTGCCAATGTACAGAAAGGCCGACAGAAAGCGTGTGAGAAGAGTTCAAACAAGGCGATGACGACTACGGAGCACCAACAGCAGCAGCAGCAGCGTCATGACAGATGAGATCAGCACGACTCCGCGCGGCCATCTGCTCGCTCGCTCACTGGCTGGCTGATTCGCTCTGGATGATCCTCACACACTTCATACGACTAATATCGTTCGCTCTCTCACACGCAGCAACCACATCGAGAATTACCCAATGATCCTCTAGTATGTAGTGTCGTTGTCATCGGAACCATCACAAAGCAAGAGAATCCGTTGAACTTCATTCCGCTACGATTGACAGACAAGAGTCGGCGCGGTCGGGACGAGCCCGACACCGACTCCGAGATCCCGAGCTGGAACCCGAGCTCGTCGTCCGCTCCTTCCTCGGCCTCCCCCCATCAGGGCAAACGGTACAGAAATTCGGAAATTCATTTTCTCTCGAGCGAGAAAACTGCATCGAAAGCTTGGGAAGGAAAGGAAACTCCGTCGGACTCCGGACTGGCCGATGGCCGTCGCATGATGCCACGGAGACATCCCTTGACCGCCTTTAGCCTGAAGCCACGTCGCGCGCACGGTGCGAGCTCTCCGAGCTCTCGTCTGTTTTCTATTAATAATCCGGTCCTGGCCAATTTGAAGATCATTGATCGTACGAAACGATGATCGGGGTGGTGAGCTGGCATACGCCGTTCGATGAACATTTGATGACGAGCATTCGGCGATCTTGGCTCGAGCATAGTAGGTGCAGCGCCATCAGCGGAACAGAAGGGGAAGTCTCTGATCGAGAAGAGAAATGTCTTCCAGAAAAAATGAGGCGAGTAGCACTCACTGCGGCAGAGGAAATCGCTACAGAAAGAGCAGAAAAAAGAGACGAGAACGAACAGAACCGTAATCCATTGATCCGTTGGCGTCTTTCAGCCACGCGCCACCGAAGCCGGAAATGAAGTGCGTAAGTCGATGGGTGGGGCACGCTCACTTCTGGAGAAAGTGCAAACAAAGACAGTGCTGTGGGAACAGTGCAGAAGTGCCCTCGCGTATTAGGACGGAGGCGAGCACGATGCCTGAGCGAAGACTCTGTTCCCGAGCTTTCCGGAAACTTTCGAACGCCGTGAACTCGGAAGCTCACCGAAGATTCTCCATTTCGATTCCCGGAATGCATCGTTGCGGACACGAGGTCCACCGAAGAGTCTCGGTGTCAAAGAGGTTCCTCTCCGTCCGGGATCGAGTGCGACCGAGAGGTGATCGGATGAATGGACTGACGGACGATATCTTCCGATCGAGTCTCTGGTGCAAGCGATTCTTCCGAAGCTCCGGACGACGCGGCTTATTCCCATCGTCTGCTCTTTCTCGTCCTCGTCATTCTGCTCGAAATACTTGTGCGTCAACTTCTTTCAGAAGTTACAGCGTCGACTCCGTCTGATACTCGTTTTCATCCGGTACCATCAAAGATAATCTTCGTTGCTCGCTCGTATTATAAAAGTGCAGCGGTGATTTGGTGCTGTTCGAGGACTGAATCCTTCGTTCTCTTCCCCTCGTCTCGTTCGCTTTCATATTCCTTCATCATCTCGTTCGCTTGCTCTTCATTTCCTCCGGCTCGATTCAGAATCTTTCCATCTATTTTCTTTCGCTGGGGATTGATGTTCGTCTCCAGTCGATCTCGTCGTCTTGCCCGCTCGAAGAGTTTGATCACCGCGAGCGAAGTACTAGCGGGGCTAGTAGACATCGTCAGAATGGAGTTCCTCTTTTCTCGTATTTCAACATTTTCAGCATCTTCAAATCCGTCGTCCACTGCTCTTCTGACCGTCTGCTGTCTTTCTGCCGTGATCAGCGGTTTTGGGTTCCCCAGACGGCTCCGCGAGCCGAATGATCCCGGCCATTCCGTCGCTTCAATTTATCTATACACAGATCTTCCCACTTCTGCATCAATCACTTGATCCGGTTCTATTCATCTGTCATCCAATCGATCAATCGATCAATCGCTGGATCAGTCACCCGGCGCGCAGAAGGCGCGTCTCGGAAAATTTTCTGCAACTTATTCAACTTGCGCTGCCTGTCCATCGTGCGATCCTTCCGCGTGAGGGTTTGCTTCTTCTGCTGCTACTGCTGAAGAACAACCGTCGCATTCTTCCAGATTAAGGCGTCAGAAAGAACTTCGGGATGGATTCGTTCTCCTCCTCTTCTTCAGCCCCGTACTTTGGACTTCTCCTCCCACCTTCGGGATCATGCTCACTGGAAATGTCGTCACCAATACCGTGAGATCCAAAAACGAAGATGGCTTCGATACGTCGGGAAGAGATCCGCGATAACGAGGAATGATCGCGGCCCGCCGCCACGTGTTCGACAAAGTCCAAGAGCCCGATCGCTTAGCGAAATATGCTCGCCCGTACTCCGGATCGAGTGCCATATCACGATCGGTCGATTCAGACAGAATTCAAACACAATGGATGAGAATCAACAGAAAGTCGCCGTCGTCATCATCGTAATCTTCATCATCGTGGTACAGAAGTTTGATGTCCCGCGCCCGCGTACGCTTCATCAAAATGTGAAGGAAATTCCGCCGATCCGCTGACGCTCGCTTCATCGAGCTTGCGCTGCCTGACCCTCATGAATCCGAGCGGGACGAGTCTCCGCGGACCGGGATCTCTCTGCACTCGGCGTGGCCTCGGCTGCGGGAACGCGCACGTGGAGAACGATCGCGCTCGTTCCGTAAATGAATGAACGTAGCAAAGAATCATTCATTTTCTGCTCCGAACCAGAATAGTTCTGATATTGAGTTTTTTTTTTCGCCGAAATTTCCCGCTCACTTCCTTCCGCTATTACGCCAGGTTTTGCGTTGCAGCGTGATCGTGGCGTCAAGGCGTCAAGTTTACTTGAAGCCGTCCCGAAAAAATCCTTGACAAGATCGTCAGCACCTCACCCCGCGTCCCCTCGGGAGAGCGATTGACGCAGCCGCTCCTGAGCGTTGGATTCACTTCTAGCCCTCCTCTTGCTACGCCCATGATGTTGATGTTGTTGTCGTAGTCGATGCCGTCGATGATAATGATGCATGATGGCAAAGCGAACGAGATCCTCTTTATAAACTGGCATTTGTAAGAGCACCAACGGCGGCGGCCAACGAATAAGTACGGACTGGCATCAATAATAATCGTAATTGACAAATTATTCGACTTGTATCGCTCGATGGCCCGCTCATTTACCTCGCTGCGTATCCACTTTGGTCGACGTCGACAAATCTTCATCAGATTTATTTCGACCGCATTCAAATCCGGAATCAGAGACCGGACTCGAGAGTTGACAGCTAGTCTCTTTATTTTCTGATCTCGGTCAATTTATCATGCTCGTATGCAGCTACGTCTCACTTCGGCTTTGAGCAGATCCTCATCGATCACTCGCTGTGGTCAGTGGGGGGAACTGATTACCACAATCTCGAGACTCTGGAATTTCTACGTCGTGATTTTGGCGAGACCCCGGGCATCTTCGAACCCTCCTTGCCACTGTGGGCTTCCCCCCGCCTCGGATGTTCGTTTCGCGGTTTACTCGAACTGGTGAATCTCGCTATCGTTGTGAAAAACGAGAAATCTCGGGCTCTCTGGAAAACCGCTGATCAGGAATGCATTGAAAGTCGCCAGTCAGACTCACTGATTGCGTGAGGTCGGCACCAAATTTCGAATTGGAAGCGATCGACTACCCTCTCTGACGAAGTGAAGGCGGGACGGACTGGAATTCCAAGCGACTGACTGAGCGATCATCTGTCCAGAGTGGACTTCATTGTACCGTCAACAATCGCAGCTGCTGTCATTCGGCGTCATGGAGCATGAAGAGTTGTCGAGGATATAGGGAAAATTGAGAGCTAGTCTTCGACGCCCTCCCGTTTGCTCGCACGTTCATCCACTCGCGCGAGCGCTTGTCTGTCGGTTTACGCGACGGCCGAACCGTGGTAGTCGACGAAAGACCGAACCTTCTACTTAGCGAAGAGGAAGAGCCGCTCACAACTAGGAAATGGAAAGATCGAAGTTTGGTAGAGGTCCGATGATCAGCTTGAGCTGATAATACGTACGCGTTCGAGATCCACCACGCAAAGTCATCGTGGTGCAAGATTGGACTGCACCGAAGAGCTGGCGATCCGCATCCCGATCCAATGCCCGGTATTGGATGGATTTCCGCGAACCGATCGCCAAGAGCAGATTCTCGTTTGCGCACCCCTTGCAAGACTTTTTGAGAGCATCTTCTGTCGAGGCTTCTCACGAATAATCATCCAAGAATCGAATAGATTTTTTTTTATTGGAGACGACGCCGCGCCGTGCTCTCGGTCATTGCCGATTTCGATGCGGAAAAGGTCGATGCCAACTCAGCCAGCTAATCGATGAAACGAAGCAAAAAGAGACAATCGATAAACCAGCAAATCACCACAAAAATAGAAACGAGAGAAAATCGACACGTCAGAAGAATCAACGTTTAATGAATCCCGCGATTTTTTTTGGCGCCCGCCGGAGCTAACTTGTAGCCGAAGTTGCGGCCGCTTGGCCAGCACCCAACACTCGAGCTGAAGGATCAGCTTTCTGTGGTCTATTTGACTCTCTCTCTATTTATTCCCTCCGTCGTGTTGTTCCTCCAGTCCCGCGGCGACACGAGCACTGCCGTCGCGGGAGAGCGGAACTCGGAACTTGAAGGTGACGACTTAAGTTGCCGTCTGCTCTTATGCAACTCCACCGCTCCTCGTGTACCCTGGCGTCCGCGTCTTCGTCTTCAGCTCTCTTCAGCCGTTGACGTTCTTCCACGCGGACGGACTCTGACGCAGAAAGGGATGGACACAATACTTGAAGTTGACGAGGCTGTTTCGACCAAGTTGTGTCCGTCCGTACGACGTTGTTCGCACGCACTGAGAATTGTCCGACGGTAAGCAGAAAGACTACTCCGGACCGGCGGAGCGAACGGATGGACGACGAAAGCCGAACAGAAGACGACGCGCCGGTGGAACCTCCGCCTGAGAAGTTTGATTTGGGAAGCGATCTGACCAAGCGTCCAAGGCCTCAGCAGCGGTTTAACAGCAATTCCGATCACCTGGTCCCACGCAAACGCCACATCCACAACAACAGAGAAGTCGAGAACGACTGCAGCAGCGGCGGCGATGACGGCCACGGCGGCGGGAGTGTCCCGATCTATTACCTTCGTCATCAGGAGACTCAGATCTCCAGCACCGACCGGGCGTCCAATCGACCGAGCAAGCGGACGTACGGGTGGATGGACGAGACCGAAAGAAAGTGCTCGATGCACAACTAGGATCCAGCAGTGGGTCCCGGCGCCGGCGCGGGGAAGCTCCAGCAGCCTGTCGTCTTTTTTTTTTTTCTTTTGAGATTCCACGAGTCTGGGACGAGATTCAAAGGAAGGGTTGAGACGTCCCACTCGGATCGCGTGGCAGAGCGACCTTGGCCCTAACATCGGGTCTTGAGCTGATTATCTTCGTTGCGTCGGACGCGATACGAAAAGAGAACAACTCATTCATCATTTCCAAAATCATCAAGGGAATGGCGGTCTCAGAATCCTTCGATCGAGATTTTGTTCGAACGCTTTCTGATGAGGGAATCAATGAATAGATCGAGGAAAGGAGAGAAAAAGAACGTCGTTCGGTGGTCTGTGGGTTTTCAGAGAGGAACTTGGGACCACACCCCGGATTAGCTCCGAAGGAGCGATCTGGTTGGCGCAGGCTGGATCTGGCAGTTGTGGTAAAAGGCGATGGTGGTGGCGGCGGCGGCATCGGCGATGTTGCTGATGACGGCACCGGCAACGTTAGGGGGCCGTCATGGTATTGGCCGTGGCCGTGAGCCGTGCACTACTGACGACGTATTGTCATCGGACTTCCGCGCTATTTGATATCGTTGTCGCCGTCGACGCGACGGCCTCCAGAAGAATGCTCACTTCGTCGTCGTTGTCGTCGGCTCCAACACTTATTCTTGGCTTTCTCTCGAGATACCTCTCGGTTTTCACGGAAGGCATAGCCGATGATCGTTTCAGAGTCCATTTCTTCGGTTTCATCCAAGTTCCTCCGTTCTTCAGCAAGCTTCTGCTTTTTTCGCAGCCCCGAATGCGAAGATCCTGATTCTCCGAGTGGAGGTTGGGGGAGGGGGTTAATCCGCCTGCGT